AATAAATTGATTTCATATTTCCTATCTCCCACGGTTACTCCGTGTATGGAGCTGTTGGCCCTTATTGTCTCCGCTAGCGGCTCTAAAGCCAGTACGTATAACAAGGGGGAAAGTGGGCATCCCTGCCTCGTTCTGTTAGTGATGCTGAACGGTTCTGATGTGAAGCTTGCCGTGACTACCTGTGCCGATGGTTCGCTGTATAAGGCCTTGACTGCCGAGCAGAAGGCCCCCGGCATCCCGAATTTATCTAGGACCGCTTCCAGGAATCTCCAGCTCAGGTGGTCAAAGGCCTTCTCCGCGTCCAGTGAGAGCGTTACACATTCTGTATGTTGTCTGTGGACGCTATGTATAATGTCTATGACCTTTCTCGTGTTGTCCCCCCTTGTCTCCCTTTAACAAATCCGACCTGGTCATTTTTGATTAGTTGCGGGAGGATGTTTTCCAGCCTGGTGGCATATATTTTCGCAAAGAGTTTTGTGTCTGTGTTTAGTAATGAGATCGGGCGGAAATTTTGTGGGTGGGTCGGTGGCTTGCCCGGTTTAGGTAACGTAATGATATGGGCTTTTAGGGCTTCTGGAGGGAGTGATTGCTTCTTGGCTGCTTCGTTGAAAGCGTTTGTGAGGTGTGGAGCGAGGGTTCGTTGGAAATGTCTGTAGTAGCAGTTGGCAAATCCGTCTGGGCCCGGGGCCTTATCCGAAGGTAGAGTCGATCGCTCTCATCACCTCCGCTTCTGTGATCAAAGCGGACAGGCTGTCTCGTTGGGTGGGGGTAAGTTTGGGCAGGGCAATCTTGTCTAAGTAGGAGGCTATTTCGGCCCCCTGTGGTTGGGGCGTATTTGGGTCGTCCTTGAGACTGTATAATGATTCATAGTATTTGGCGAATGTGTTGCTAATGTCTTTGGGTGCCACTATTTTCTGTCCGCTTGGAGATATCATGTACGCTATTTTTTGGGCTGCTTGCTGTGTCCTTAGTCTTTGTGCTAACAGTTTACCTGCCTTATTTCCCTGTGTGTAGTTTTGTGTCTTGAGCTTTTTCAGGTGGTATCCGACTTGTTCTAGGGACATCTGGTGTATTAGTCTTGTAAGTTTCGTGATTTGTTCCCGCAGTTCGTGTGAGGGAGTGATTTGGTTTTGCGTTGTAGCGCGCTGAAGGTCTGTTTGATATATACGAAGCTGAAGGTGGGATTTCCTTTTTAGGTATGATGCCCGTCTTATCAGTTGTCCCCGTATCACTGATTTGTGGGCCTGCCACAGGGTGCAGCGGCTTGTCTCTGTTCTATCATTGTCTTGGAAATAGTGTACTAATTCTTGGTTTAGCTCTGTAATAAAAGTGCTATCTTTCAGTAGTGTTGCGTTTATTCACCATGGGCTTCTATGGGTCGGGTCATATAGGTTTTTCAGCATCAGCTCTACTGGGGCATGGTCGGACCACGTAATCTGTCCTATCTCGCACTGGGCCGTCTGGTCTATCCCTGCCCCTGAGATAAGGAAGCCATCAATGCGGGAGTAGGTGTTGTGTACTGTCGAAGAATGTATATCCTCTTTCCCCTACATGGGTGGCTCTCCATACGTCCTACAGGTGGTTGTTATGGATGAGCTTACGTATCGCCCTACTTTGTTTGCGGGGTGCGGTGCGTGTTTTGGCTGGGGCTAGCGTCGTATCAATTGAGGGGTCAAATACGTGATTGAAGTCGCCACATATGATTGTCGTCCCTTGTTGTACTGACTGTAGTTTCAGTATGAGTTTGTGTAAAAAGTTGCTTTGGTTCGTATTGGGGGCATATATGTTCGCTATGGTGTAGGGCATGTCATTAAGTGTGCCTACTATAATGACGTATCTACCGTCCAGGTCGATGTGTTGAGAGTGCGGAACATAGGCCACATTTTTGCTAATTAGTATGGAGGTGCCTTTAGTTTTGCTGGCCGATGTGGCATGGAACTGTAGTGGGTAGTCTCTCAGTAGGATGTTGGGGTGTGCGTTTGTCATGAAGTGTGTCTCTTGGAGGCATAATACATCTACTTCTTTGTGTCTGATCTCTCTGTATAGGAGGTGTCTTTTAACAGGGATGTTAAGTCCCCTAACGTTGTGTGAATAGATTTTCAGGGTGGTAGGTGGTCATGGGGTTGTTTGTGTGCTTGTGTTTGGCATCTATATGTCGGGGGCCCTTTTGTCCCAGTTCCTTCGAACTCAAGGGCTGTCCCCATGTGGCCTGATGGCTACTCTGTGTGTCTTTTGGCCCAGAGGGAGATAACCGTGGAGTCCCCACTCGATTGGTTTTTGTTCGGTATCCTGCGGAGCATACACTAGTTGAGTGGGGTGTAAGTGGTGCAAGTATGAATACAAATATGAAAACTCAAAAAATGACAGAAATTGATAAACCATAATAAACAAACTTTTTTGCCGAACAGTCGGCTATGCACCAGGTGGCGGTGCGTTGGGGGTAGGAACTAATGGTTCCTGTCTTAGCTGCGGTTCTTCGGCCGCGGCCTATGTGTGCATGTATTTTGTTGCGGTGACCCTATTTTAGAAAAGTTTGCGTGGAAGGGCCGTCTCTGCCTGCCTGCGTGATTTCTGAAAATGTTGTGTTTTTTTGTTTGTTTGTTTTTTGCCTTGACGGAGCGTTCTGGGGTCGGGGGGTGAGGGTGAGCTCCTCTGTGCAGGCTATTCCTGGTGCAGGCCCCTATGTCACCATTCCAATGACCCAGTCTCCTGTCTAGCCTTGTCCCCCAGGTTGAGCTTGTCACTTTGGCTCTCACATCCAACCCTCCCCCCTTGTTAACATGCCCCTTGTATTTGCGTGTATATCTGTAATATAACTGCTATTGTATATTAACATTAATTAGATAAAATTTAGCATTGCAATTGTTATACAAGCCTGGATTCAAATGGCTGGACTGGCAGTTCTCAGGCTCGGCTTCGCGACACCTTCACAGTGAGGTGGGTTAGCGTTTAGTTTTCCTCCATGTTGGAGGGAGTCTTTGAGTCTCTTTCGTTGCAGGTGGTATTTCTATACCCCAGCTTCTGAGGATTTTCATTCCTTCGTCTGGGCTCTGTATTGTGGTTGTTCTTCCGTTTCTCTGTATGATCAGCTTCACCGGGTATCCCCATCTGTATGATATTTGTTGTTGGCGGAGTTGCGTTGTAATTCCTGCAAAATCCTTCCTGCACTTAAGCGTGTATGCTGAGATGTCTGCGTAAATTGCTATGGCTTGATAGGCCGCCGGCAAATCTGTTTTTGTTTCTGGTTCTGTTCGCTCTCATTACCTCTTCTTTTATGTGAAAGTAGTGCATTCTCAACAGCACATCTCTGGGGGTTTCGGGTGGTAAGAAGGTGGGTTTCGGCACTCTGTGAGCCCGGTCCATCAATAACATGTCAGGAGACACATCAGGGGCAAGTGCTTTAAACAATCCCACGAGGTAGGCCGTGAGTTCTGCCGGGCCTATGTTTTCCGCTGTACCTCTAATGCGGAGGTTGTTCCGCCTACCTCTGTCTTCCAGGTCTGCTGTTTTCCCCTCCTGTGTTTCTATTCTCTCTGTAAAGCTGTCTAGTTTTGCTGCCATGGAGTTTTGGGCCTCCTCATATGCCACCATTTTGTCTTCAAACATGGCTGTTCTATCTCCCAGCTCTTTAATTTCTGAGTTAATGTTATGTATTGCGTTCTGTAGTGTGAGCTGAAGCTTGCCTGCCATAGTGTCCAGCATTGCCTGCAGGATCCCCTGTGTGACCGGTAAATCGGCAGCCGCCGGTTCTTGAGGGGGAATGTGGTCTTCCTCGCCGCCATCTTGGTTTTCGCCTTGCGGGCTGAGCCCTCGAGTCTGGCTCGCTTTTATACCAAAGAAATTAGTTTTTTCGCCTCTCTCGGTCTGTCGGCGGTGTTTGGGCTGTGACATTGTATTGCCGTGGGCTTTGTGGTGTCGGGTCACCTATGTATTGCCTCGTGTAGGCCTGTGCAGCACGGAGCTCCGGCTACATGCGACCGCTCGCTCCGGAGTCTAGGACACGCCCCCAACCCAACAGATTTTAACTCCTTAAGGACACATGACATGTGTGACATGTCATGATTCCCTTTAAATTCTAGAAGTTTGGTCCTTAAGGGGTTAACCAAAGCAGCTTTTAAACAACAGATTTTACATGAACAGTTAGGTGAGTATAAGGTAACAAAATAACCGTGCAAAATGAAAGGAAAACCCTAAAGTGAGGACCCGTGCTGTGCTGAACGCCGTGGGAACTAATCCTGGCGCAACAGGTGGGTCCGGAGAGAAATCTACTGGATTAATGGAAATGCCTGCTGCAGGACTCCTGGACACAGCTTGGAGTAGGAGACCTCATGTAGCAAAGGTGAAACCAAAATGGCATCTTGTATGACCTGGAAGTGGATCTCATGCAAATGCTGACCTCAAATAGTCTATTCGTCTGACCAACAAAGGTAAGTAGGGAAAGGGGGGAGTCCCTTTTATAGGTCTATAGCCCCTCCCACAACTTCAGGCCATGCCTTCCAATATATGTATATATATCTGTATATATGTGTATATATATATAATTTAAAAAAAAAAATATATATATATATATATATATAATATATATAGAGATATTATTTCGTTCTACGTGTATTTTTATATATATATATATATATATTAACATCACAATTTACATTTAGAATGAAATAACACACATCTACATATTTTTTATTTATTTTTTATTATTTGTTTTTATTTTTTTAACGTAGTTACATTTTTTTTTATATTATATATAAATATATAACAATAATTATATATATATATATTTAATCAGTATCAGTCTATGTGTAATTTGGTATATATATGATCTAAGTATATAATTTTTTTATTTTTTACACTGATTTTAACTTTATTTTATTTCCAGGCAGCAGGGGGTCATTACAGGCAGTCCCCCTGCTGGCAATGCAGCAGCCAGCTAACCCGGCCATGTGATTGTGAGGTCCTCACAAAGACCTCACTCTCACATGGCCGGGGGGGGGGCCGGAGAAGGCAGGATCTGCCTCGTGGGACTCCCTGGGATCCCACGCCGGCGACCGGGTAAGTAAGAAAAACCGTGAAGGCATACTATTACACCCTGCATTTAGAGTAGAATAGGGCATAATAGTACGCTCTCCGGTTTTAAGGGGTTAACGTCATTCAGAACTTGAAAGATATTTCTTAATATCTGGGGGTTTTTTTTAATTAGATTTAATTCATATTAAATTGTTTCATATATAAATATTTGATGTGAAATGAAGGCCCTGTTTCTCCTGAACTATACTATACTATATGTATTAAGGCAATTTGCCTGCATTTGTGGGAGGTGCTGGTTTTCCACCCCTAGCCTACTTAAGGCACTCCCCTTGCCTGGCTCCTTACCGTTCGAGGTCAGCGTTGAATGAGGATCCACTTCCGGGTTCTCTCAGACGCCATCTTGGTTTCAGTATCCAGGAGGTTTCACCACGTTAAGCTGTGTCCAGGAATCCTGTTCAGGCCTTTCCGCCCGACCAGCTTCTTCTGACTCCGTTTCTCCGTCGTAGATCGCGTCCCAGGGACTCCTAAACCGTAAGTCAGACCTTCCTGTCACGCCAGGACTGGTTCCCACGGCGTACGGTACAGCACGGGTCCTCGCTTTACGGCTTTTCCCTGGTTATGACACGAATGTTTTCAAGCCATTCGCGGGCTTTTCATTTCGTACGGTCATTCGGCTGAACATGTTTTCAATCGTTCAATAGTCATTTCGCATATCCTATTCATGTTATTTAAACGAATGTTCATTCGGTTGTTTTGCCGTTCGGCAAATTTACATACGCTCACACACACTTTGGTTCGCATAAATCATACGGTTAAACTATTCTAACTTCTGTGTTCCCCTCACATTTGCTTTCGGCTGTTCTGTGTGTTCACGTTTTAATCCTTTCATGAATTATATTCACCATTTCATGTGTATATAACATTCGGTTAAGTATTGCTTGCTTAAATAGATTGTTGATTACTTTTAACAATTGTCAGTATTGTATTACGTCCACAAACCAAGTCCACTTCTGTGTATACCATTTGACTCCCACGCTTTCAGGGGTCTGCATTACTTATCCATTTATACGTATGGACTCAGCCATGTCACAAGCCTCATTTCTGGGTTATTAATACAATACATACAAGGATAGGTTCATTTAAGCAATAATTCTCGGGTTGATACGTCTTTGCTATACATACATATCATATAGATCTACATCACTTTACATCATGCTAAATCATTTTGGGGTATCCCTGCCTTTGGTCTTTCTGCTACATATCATACACAACGATGTGTTAATTAGGCCATGACCTCATTCATGTCCCTTTCTATAAAACCAGTTACATTTCGGTACAGGTCATTGAACTCCCACGCCAGGAGTTTTATAACTATCCATTTCATTTCAATTTACTCAGCCTACATTACAGGCCTCATTTCTCTGTCATGACGATGACACACAAAGCATAAGTCCTTTTGCATGCATACTCGGGTTGGATCACACGTCCTGATCCAACCAATCATACGTCCCCTACACAGTCATAATACATATGTATATAACCTACGTTTCATGTTTTCCTTTACACACCATTATCACGTAACACATAGATTGTTTGTACATAGGCCACGGCCTCCCTCAGATGTCTTATTCAAGCATGCAAACATTTCTGAGCCACTCATAGCTATTCCCATGGTATCAACATAATTTTATACATTGCTGCTACAGACTATAAGTCTGGTTCTTGTTATACCCCACACTCATCGTACTACTCTCTTTTACCCATTTTAGGCTGTCGAGCTTATATAGTTGCTCCACACGGTTTATTCCTGTGATTTATCATACTACCAGGTACGTACACCTGCTCATATGGTATTCTACCATACATTTCATTTCATCCCCCTAGTTTAGAGTACTGGCAATAGGGTCACAGGATTCCCAATAGGTATTTACCCCGTCTTGGCTGTCGCCATCAGTTAGTGGTCCCGCGAGGCCAACACCCCGCCTCAAACGTTTCGGAGGCAAACACCCATCGGGCCACACGTTAGCTAGCCGCCTCGCATGTTGCAAAGAGAGGGCCTCACCTGTCACTCCCTTCCCCTGTTTTCTGTCGTACAGTCACCGAGAGGCCTAAAACTCCTGCCACTACGTCAAGTGGCCTCAATAACCCCTCGCGCCAACGCATAGATAGAGCCTCTCAAGCCGCTTGGCAACTAGTAGGGCCTCACCTGTCACCAAACAAGCATAATACTTTCGCCATCCGGCCTAGCTAGCCTGCCAGTACAATTTGGTGGTTCTATATACTAATTATTGTTTTATTTATAGTATGTCTCAGGAAGGGGTAGAGGATTTCTCCCTGCCTAGCACCCCGGCTAGAGCTGTCACTCCCACACAAGGAGGAGAGCTAGCTAGTCCAGCATCAATTAGATCCTGGACAATCCCGCGCATAACCACGGAATTAAGGAGACGACAAATCCCCTACCCTGCTACAGCAAGGAAGGCAGAACTTTTCAAACTGCTACGCACATCAACCAATAACATGGAAGCCGGGGAAGGATCTAGCCAGTCCAACCCAGGGGACATACATGCCATGTTATCCTCACTCATGGCATCCATGGGCAAGGTCAACTCCAGGCTGGAGAAACTTGAGTCGGTCACCACGGCCCTCACTCTAGCAGGGCCAACCGCGGCTGCAGTACAAACACCAGCCTTGCCATTAGTCGCTCCAGCCAGCCCCCTGGATGACCAGGAAGTTAGCCCGGCCCACATGATACCTGAGCATATCAAAAGGGATATCCTGGAAGGTAAAGACGTCAACCTGGCTTCCCTGTTGATTGCCTCCCAGGACATTGTGGAACATAAAACGTATGCTTATGATGATGTTTCTGTTATTGTCAGATCTAGGGATGCCCGCCTAAACAGAAAACTGACTATCCCTGAATTTGTTCTAGCATTTGGTATTTACAGGGATGTCGTCTGTGCGGTCTATCCCAACAGAAGAGAGGAGTTCGATCTCTATATGCACAAGCTGGTAGACCTGGGCAACAAATATGGTGGTTCAGCATTCTATGACTACCATAGGTCTTTTTCTGCAAAAGTGGCTGGAGCCTTCTCCCAGTACGGTACACGGTCCAACTGGGGAAGGATTGATACCGTCTTATTCTGCAGACACTTTGCAGGTCTAAGAACACCAGCTTGTGCATACTGCTCCTCCACAGCCCATACTACTAATTTTTGTCCAAACACGGCAGACGGACATGCCTCCACACAAGGAACTACTTCCTCTGGGGATCCAGGGAAACTATCCACAGACAAATTGGGACGCCCAATCAAGTTTCTGGGCAAGTCCCAGATATGTAATAATTTCAATGTTGGGTCTTGTAATTACAGTGGATGTAGACTATTGCATGTCTGTTCAAAATGTTTTAGGGCACATGCTAAGACCATGTGTCCAAATAAAATGTATTCTAAGCCTTACCTTACGTCCATTAATATGCCAGTATTCACAGCATTGATGTCTCAGCACCCATCTAGACACCTGGTAGATTTTCTTATTTCTGGTTTGACAGAAGGCTTCCACACAGGTATCCTACACATACCAGCTGGCACTCTGGAATGCCCAAACCTACAATCCGCCCAACACAACCCCACAGTGGTTGACACCCTCATAAACCAAGAAGTGGAGGAGGGCTTTGTATTGGGGCCTTTTAGAACTCCCCCATTCACAGAATGGCGCACCAACCCTATTGGTATTGTCACAGGGAAATCTTCCCAAAAACAGAGACTCATCATTGACTTATCGGCTCCCCACTCATCGGCCAACCCCAGTCTTAATTCCCTCATACCCTCTGAGGAATTCTCTCTGCAATACACCACCATAGATCACGCCATTACAGCCATCATACAAGCAGGGGTGGGAGCCTGGCTCAGTAAGACCGACATTACTAACGCCTTCAAATTACTCCCTATCCACCCCACACTGTGGCACCTGCATGGCATCAAGTGGTCCGAGAACTACTATTTTTTCTCCCGGTTAACTTTTGGGTCCAAAAGTAGCCCAGCTATTTTCGACACATTTGCCGAAGCACTATGCTGGTTACTATTGAACATAGCCGGATGCCCTACAGTATTACATTATTTGGACGATTTCCTACTGGTCGAGGAGAATACTGCACCTCCCACTAGCCTCAAAGCTACCACTAAGCTGTTTGAGCAACTAGGTGTACCCATCTCCCCAAAGAAAACAGAAGGGCCAGACACGGTTATCACTTTTCTGGGTATCCAGTTAGACTCTGCCACAATGCAAGCAAGCCTACCTTACGAAAAGATAGACAATATTCTCACTTACATTAACAACTACCTACAGCTCGGCACTTGCAATCGCAAAGAACTACAGTCCCTGCTGGGGTCACAAAATTTTGCAATGCGCATCATACCTCAAGGCCGCTCCTTTATTTCACGACTATTGCATCTTTTCCCACTTTTTCTACATGACACGCACAGGTTGTCCTTAGATGCCCAAGCTACGGCAGATCTAAACATGTGGAAGAGGTTTTTAACCACTTGGAATGGTAAAGTATGTTCCTCCCTCAATTGACTGAATCATCTCCTACCATTTGGTCAGATGCGGCATCTACCACTGGTTTTGCAGCAATTTTTGGGAACGAATGGCTTTGGGGCAGCTGGCCTTCAGCAGTTCTGGATTTGGAAGGTTTTCCACTACCTCAGCTCTTTTTGAGATCTACCCCATAGTGGCGGCTGCCGTAGCGTGGGGTCATTTATGGGCTAATACGCCAGTGCGTTGTTACTCAGACAACCAGGCGACCTGTCACATCATCAACAAAGGTCGTTCCAAATCTCTTACGATTATGAGATTTCTGAGGAAACTCACTTGGTTGGCAGCTTGTCATAATTTCTTCCTATGTTGTTTTCATGTGCCAGGTGTATACAACACAGCTGCTGACAGTTTGTCTCGCTTTAAATTTCAGGAGTTTCATCAAGCACTCCCGTCAGCAGCACCCACAGCCACCATCACTCCAACATTTCAACAACTCATACTGGACTAGACGTCATCATGCAGCATAGCAGGACATTGTCTCAGTTGGCACTTTCACACAATACAAACAAAACATACAACAGGGCTTTCACACTATTCAAACGATTCCTTCTGGAACATAACATCATACAACCGTTTGTTATGACATCTTTTTTGGGGTTTGCTTCCTTTTGCCACCTTAAACTCAAATTGTCATATAACACCATCAAACTCTATCTCACTGGCATTCAACACCACATGCTCATCTTACACCCAAATAACAACAGTTTCATGGCCTCTCACCAAATTAAGACCATACTCAGAGGTATTCAAAAATCAGAACCCACACATTTGGCCCAGAGGCTACCCATAGATAACCATATCTTCAAAGCTTTATCTAACCTACTCGACCTGAAACCATTTGACACTAATACGAATTCTATCATCAAAACAGCAATATACATCGCTTTCTATGGATTTCTACGACCCAGAGAATTCACTACGACCTCCACGACCCAAACCACTCCATTCCTCCTCTATTCCCACTTGACAAAACATATGGATCATTACATCCTGTCTTTACCTCACTCCAAAACCAGCCAGCACATACCTGTAAACATTCCGTACTACCCCACGCACAACAGATGGTGTCCCGTAAAAGTTCTTGATGCCTACATACAGCACCATCACTTACTGCCCTCGCAACCGTTATTACAACTACAAGGTGCAGTACTCACCACTACAACCTTCATGACCTACGTCAGGTCCTTGCTCACACAACTGGGCCTCAACGCAAACAATTACTCAGGACACTCCTTTCGTATAGGAGCCGCGTCCACAGCCTCCAGTTTCAACGTCCCAACTCATGTTATCAAAACACTGGGGCGCTGGAAGTCATCCGCTTACTCACGGTACATACCGAACCCAGTACAAGAGTTAAGAGATGCTTTCATAAACATGTCTGGTTGATAAATGTATATGTATTGGTTGTCTGTTAATAAATTGGATTACTTAATTTTTGCCCTCTTCTTTCTCAGGCCTACCTCATCGTCGGTTTCGGCACACCACAACCGACTTGCTCCTTTTATCATCCTACGCTTATTCATGGTATTTCACACTGTACTATCTTAAGCACCTAACACAAGTATTAAGGCAATTTGCCTGCATTTGTGGGAGGTGCTGGTTTTCCACCCCTAGCCTACTTAAGGCACTCCCCTTGCCTGGCTCCTTACCGTTCGAGGTCAGCGTTGAATGACCCTCCCACCACACCACTTTTAACATTTATTTTCCTTTCTATTTCTTTTCCTGGGTGGGCCCTCTTCTTTCTCAGGCCTACCTCATCGTCGGTTTCGGCACACCACAACCGACTTGCTCCTTTTATCATCCTACGCTTATTCATGGTATTTCACACTGTACTATCTTAAGCACCTAACACAAATATATATATATATATATATATATATATATAATATAAAGTGTGGGTGCACATTGTTTTGATCACAACGTGTACAGCTGCCTCCGTCCTTAAGTGGTTAAGCTACACTAGATCAGATTATTTGGTATGTTGAAATAAGCAACATACTTACATTTCCTGTTTAGACTTTGAGCAGAGAGTGCCACGTTGCCACCATCTGCTGGCTGTTTTCAGCATTATATACATCTTACTATAATGCTGAAACTCAGCATGCAGTCATACTGTGTGATCAGTATTGGGAAGCTGGCAAAACTCGGTACCAGACACATTCGGCATGTGGCCTTGATGAGACCTGGTTGTGGTGTACGGGGGGTGGGGGTCTCTTTTGATCTGCTCAGTCACGGTGTTCTCCATGAATTTAAAGTGCTGTATACAGCCCTGCCTATCTGACAGAGGCAAGTCCCCGATATCAATTAATACCTGGGTGTCCCCGGAGTGAATAAGGAATTAACCCTGTTCGCACTGCGTTGGCGGAATAGGCAATGGTTGTAGCAGTGCTCACGTTGAACTCTGCATTCAACACATCTGTTAGTCTGCTGCCACTAAAAATTACCCCACTGAAACAGGGGAGCACCAGGTACCTAGGCTCTAGGGAGTTAAAGATCAGTATAGTTGGGTTGCACAGACAGGTCGTTACGTGGATAATAACTGCTACTGACTCTTGTTAATAGCGACTGCTTACATCAGCCATTTTGTGGCAATATTGGAAACAAGCTCTAAATGTAAAAACAAAATTAAAAAAAATCCACAATGCATTAACAATTTGTTGCTTGATATATGTAATAATATTGTTCTACAGCTTATGCATAATAAATGTAAGCAGCAAAGCTGATATTGGCATGTCATAGGGTGCAGATAGTATCTCCCTTAATTGTGTTCATTTTACCAACATAAGAAAAATGTCAGATTGATTTATCTCTACTAGGAATGAATCCTGCAGCTGTGGTATCTAATTATTTTATCCACTGAGATCTCCAAGTCTTTGTGTAATGTGCTGTATAAAATAAATCGGTCATATGCGCAATGTTACTCAAACAGAATACAGATGATTATTTGTTTTGCATTGTATTACTGAAGAGTTCCATTTAGTTTTCAGACTTGTTAGGACATAGAGTATATTATTATTATTATTATTATTATTATGATATTTATAGAGCGCCGTCAAATTCCGCAGTACTTTACAATGGGTGGACGAACAAACATGTAGTTGTAACCAGACAAGTTGGACACACAGGAACAGAGGGGTTGAGGGCCCTGCTCGATGAGCTTACATGCTCTAGAGGGTTGGGGTAAAATGACACAAAAAGGTAAGGATAGTATTAGACTAGTGACAGTTGCAGACGAGGAATCAGTCAGGAGCTATTAACAGTTTAATTGATACGCTTTTATGAAGAAGTGGGTTTTTAACGATTTTTTGAAGGAGTTGAGACTGGGTGAGCATCTAACGGAAGAGGGAAGCAAGTTCCACAGGAACGGTGCAGCCCTCGAGAAATCTTGAAGGCGAGCATCAGAGGTGGGAGTACGGACAGACGATAGGGAGGAAAGACCAGAATTTCGGTTTTGGTCAAGTTTAGTTTAAGGAAGTGGGCAGCCATCCAGTCAGAAACAGTAGAGAGGCAGTCAGAGACACTCGTCAAGAGGGATGGGGAGAGATCAGGAGAGGACAGGTAGATTTGCGTGTCATCTGCATTGAAATTATATTGGAAGCCAAAGGAGTATATAAAGAGTTAAAATTTAAACTCAAGCTTAATGTAACACTCAATCCGTTTAGCATTTTCCCATACTGAACAAACAAATTGAGAACTCATGGGCAAATGTTTTCTTTGGGTACCTGGACATCAGATTATCAAAAGTTTGAAGGGAGAGTATTTGTAGAATGTAAAGAAAAGGAGGGTCAAGCTGGTGGGTAACATTTCCCTTATATGATGTGGCCACCCCATGCCTTATTTTGTTTAATTCTCTTAATATCCTAGAGCTCCGTGGCAAATAACACAAACCATATCTAGTGCAAGCAATTACCTCCATTTTCACTAAGAACTAGGTAACCGTTACCATAAACAATGAGTAAAGGCTATACGTCGATTTTGGATGTCAATCTGGAATGATGTCAGTCAATGTGAATTAAAGTTGAGCAATGCTATCATAGAGCAAAGAGTATAGATACTAAAATCTATTTACTGGGATAGAACTCTGGACTGTGTGTTAGAATCACTGTGAGCAAATCACAAGCAAGTTAGTAATATTATACAGTAATAACTGTGTGATCTTTTCCCTGTGTTTATTTATATGTATATTTATGTTTGCAGGCTAATGGGAATGGGACTCCACATTCAATGTCTCCTCCTGATGAGACAGGCCATCAAACAGGCTACACAGAGGTACCGCAAACTGACACAACTCAAAACGGATAAGCTTTGTCAGGGCTGCACTCACCGGGCACCCGTATCAACCTTGTTCTTTACCTGAATAGTCCTGGAGTCATGCACATCTTCAGATACAAGTATTTTTATGGGCAAATGCAAATATTACAAGTTTTAAAATGAAATGTTGTATTTCTTAAACTGTGTACTTTGTCTTTAAGAGATATTGCAAACTGACAAGGTGTTAGAAATGGAACATATTGTTTTTCATAGATGTTTCTTTAAGCAATAACCTCAGTGCATAATATGTTTGCGCCATTTTGTCCCAGACGAATTACAATAACAATAATGCATAAACAAGCTTCAAGGCTATACTACGACTCTTTCAGTACACAATATACTGTGGTAACCCTAAGTAGATAAGGATGTTCAGACTTTAAGATGCCATCTTGAACTAAGTCAGGAAAATTTCCATGACGTATACACCCTTTAGTTATGGCCTTGTATGTTTGCCAAATTAAGGGAGGTCCTAAATTGAATAAAGTAAAAGAAGTGTTACTTTTTCATATTTGAACTACAGTAACCTAAAATGGAGACACCTAAGGTATAAATAGGTGTACTTTTAAATGTTAAGACACAGAGGAGAGACTTGGAGACAGACTCTGCTCCATCTTAAAATGACAGAGAGGCTGACATGATGACATGTTCAGAAGGGTATGTTAACCTATTAATGATATTTGCAAGCATGTAATTTAATCTTATAAACTCTGCTATAATGGATTTTATATTTATATTTTTATATAATAAATATCCAAAAAGACAAAACTATTGCTTCCAAGACAATCCTTATTTTATATTGTATTCTCAATTATTTATATATGTTAAATAGAGGATCTCTTACTAACTATATAAAATTATGGCTAAGATATCTGTATGGTTAGCCCTACTAAGTTCTATGCTTTAAGACATTATAGTGGTAAATAAGGGAACCAGCCACGGTTACAATTCCTGCACATAATGACTTTGCTTACTCAGGTACAGTATTTAGTCTATTGCAATGGCAGGATTAAAGTCCACCAATTTTAAAAGGGAAATCTTACTTAAATCAGTGGTGCTATCCCATCGTACTAGCAGTAAGGAAATTAGAACAATTATATTGTACTACTGACTGTAATCAGATCAGACACCTGTAATCTCAGTGAATTTCATAAACTAGGTTTTCATAAAATATAAAATTAAATTAAATTTCAACGTTGTTTATATATAAATATATCATTTGTTGTTTATAAATAAATGTATGTAGACTAGGCAATAAGAGCATTTACATGCATTCAGCAGCCTAATCTCTGAGTCAGAAATGGATTTAAAAAAAAAATAAAAAAAAATTAGGTTTTAAAAAGTCCACAGTCAACCACACATGATGGGTGAAATGATTGCTTCTTTAAAAGCTATATGCTGCTGGAATTATGTATATAAATACAGATTAGGGCACAGCGTAGAAATCAAAATACAGTTTCAAATCTCATATATGGGGATTCAATTCCACCACATATTCTACAATTCTGAAAGAGGCTAATTTTAATATGTTGTAAGAGCATTGTGAATATAATACTGCAAAATTAATGTGATATTGCAAAGCCTGCAATATTCTAAACAGACATTAAACGTAAAAAAAAAAAAAAAGAAACATAATAATGCATAAAAAAATGCAGTGTCGATTAAAGTGATAATACTCTGATACATTAAATCACATTGCATATCACATATCTGCTATATGAAAAGTATAATTAAAGTGACATTACTGTCCAAAGCCCCCTCACATCTATTTTATAGAATCTATACTTTTCGGTGGTCACTTCCAAAGAAGCCTCTGAAACTGGGGGCTGAGAGGGGTGCTCATCCCAAAAGGCATCTGATTCCAGACTTAAAGAAAAATAAATTATAGAAAAGGAATCACAGGAACACCCAGAACATGCATTTTTGTATATAATCTTAATTTGCAGATATTCTACGCCTTAGAGACATATAAAGGATATTTAATTAAATATGCAGGTATCTTTAAAAATTAAGCAAAGTTAAAAAAATAAATAAATAAAATAAATAATAATAATAAAACTTATTTTACACCACAATAAAACAGCTTTGTTAAACAGATTTAAGTAAAAGTACTTATGACAAGAAATATACAGAATACGTTTTTAACAGGCAGGTTTAGTATAAATGCAAAGTTGTTGTTTTTGGGGATTATTATTGCCCAAGAAATCTCTGAATATATACAGCAAGTGTAGATAGCAGATTGCAATGGACACCATTACAATATTGCTTTACCGATTGAGATCATTTCGAGAAATAAATGTTCTATAGCTCGCTAGATCACTTGCTTTTAATGAACAGTTTGCACAACACTTATGAATAGTTTGTAATACTGCACATTATAGCTGTGACAACATGATATACAGTGTAAAAATGCTATGTCACTGTTTAATAGACTTACCCAGTATTTAAGGACGACATGTTTCTTGCAAAGTCATCGGGACTTTGAGGGAGGTTCTAACTACGTTTAATTAACTTACTAAAGAAAAAAAAAAAGAGTTTTTTTTTTTTTCCCCTGCAAGTGAGTTTTCAGCGCAAGGTCATTTTGTGTTCACAGACTATTCGGTTTTAAAAAAGCTGTTCTTTATCTCACATTATGAACGGCCTTGTAATTCCTATCCACACTAAAAGTTGGCTTTTAAATGTTATTGTTTTAACTTTAATATTTCATAATTAATACAGAGAATAAAGTAATTTAAATAAAATATATTGAAAGTATATTAATTGATAGGATTTCATTTATCTATTTTGGTCCACTGTTCACTGATCTCGAATTTCAGTCTGGTGTTCAAACTGTTTTTCTTACGATACGTTGTGAGTTTATATCCACAACTGCATTTTGCTTTGTGGTAACAAATTGAAAGCCTGGCATTGTAATACGTGTATGGACATGCTTATAACAAAGCTTGGTCCCTCTCCTCATGTAGTTGGTCATTAACAGGCACTTTGATACAATGTGTCTACCAACGCTTTTCTGTGGTCACTGGATCACATCGCATATGATGCAGAGTTTATGCTTGCAAGGATATCCAGAAATAATCCACCTGATATCCGCATAAATACTCCTATCGTTTAGAGGGGTTAGTTACATAATAACCATTGAAGGTAATATGTTGGTTGTTCTTCCTATAGAGGAAAGATAGACTTGCTGAAAAGCTTTTTCATGGCTAGGACAAGCTCATATAGAGAGAGGTAATGTACTTCTGACTCCTGAAAAGGAATATTGGTGGTCCAATATGGTGGTCCAATATGGGAAATACTGTAATTCATGTGTTTAGTAATCATAAGCATTTGCTTATTGCTACATTACTGATGTACTGTTTATTGAAATATTAATATCTAACATACTTTTTGAATTACTATATATTGGAAATTTGCCAACATCTCATGGTTATAAATATGTTTTTGTATGTGTTGATGCATGTACCAGGTTTACTTGGATATATCCTGTGCGAAGTGCAACCTCTGATGCCACGTTTTCTAGTCTCACTTCCTTAGTATGCATTTGATAATCCCAGGACCATCCATTTGGATGGTGGTCCTGCAGTTACTGCAAAGGAAACCTAAAACTGGGCAACCACATTTGGGTTACTTTGAGATTTCAGTGCGCCAACCACCCCCAAAGTAGTGGGGTTGTGGTCTGGGAGAATGCTGAAGTTAAATGATTATTAACCAAGTTACTAGTTGCTTGCCCCACACAGTGGTATCTATTTATTCCTATGGTACAGATGATTATCCTATGGTACAGCTGATACAAATGCTGAGACACCATATGAAATGTTACATGTTTTGTTCACTGACAATTATATTTCTGCACCAGGGAGAGCTTAGAACCATTGGTTCTATTAGAGAAATTTAGGGATTTTTTTTCCAGCCCACCTCGCCTTGCACCACCACCTATTTCCTTCTGTTGGCCAGCTTGTCCTGGAGAGGGTGACTCCGAGAACTTTTACTACAGAGAACAATCAGAGCCAACAGAGAACAGTAAGTTTTGATATTTTAAACCTTCTAAATACTAACAGGACGTTCACAGAACCACTGACTGACACAATGGATGCTGTTAAAGATTACAAGGTAAAACAAACAGAGGACGACAGAAATGCCACCAGAATCATAGCCACGTAACAGACTGAATCATGATCTGACATCTGAACCTGCAAATGTGAAGGAGAAGGATGAACAGACATACGTGATACATTCACAGTTAACATGGAATATATGAAAAATTAATCATCAACATCATTATAAGAAAGACTCTGGAGAAAACAGACTGAACCTGAATTATCTTATACAGTAAGAAAGAAATGCAAAGATGGAAGCAAAAGAATGCTAGAAAATTGGTTATGGTGTTTCCTTCTTACAATCTGCAGCATTATCATAACATCAACCCTAGCTGTCGTTTTAAAACTGCATTGGGATTATGTTAACAAGCAGGAAGCACCTGAACTTAATTAGACTGCACACTATACAAGTTCTTTGATCGTGAGGACTACCTCCAAGAACTATCTCAAAAGAGACACATAGCTCACAGTGAAATGATTGCTAATGTGACCTACACTGGTATTTCACAAGGAACCTATTGAGATCATTCCAAAAACCGATTATACATGAGAAAGATGTGATTGGACAATTACAAATCCTAATAATGGACTCAACGATGATGGCAAAGCATGCTGAGAACAGGAAAAGACGGGACAGATGCCTGTGAAAGACTTTGGATGCACCTATGAATGTGATGCAAGAAAATCATTTGCCATATAGTTTATCATTGAGTGACTACAGCAAACAGCCTTCTTATGCTGAAAAGAATTGCTATGCTAATTCTGCTATTATGTTTCCAGACAGAAGATGACCGGAAAAAGAAATAAAGGCTGATAACTGTCAACACCCAGCTGTTTCTCAAGATGGAACATGGTACTGAGAAAACCTGATTGACTATCAAAACACCTCACAGTACAAGACACAGATTGTTGCCTACAACTCAGAAAAAGTGGTTAATAGGAAGGAGCAGAAGAAGCGGAAAATAGATTTCCTACTTGAGTGAAAAACCATCCTGGAACAATATTCTGTAACAATGAACTTTAAAATGACATTTGGTGGCATATAAATTTGAATTTGGAAGAAACACATCAATTAACGAAAGAAACCTTGATGCAATTAATAAATAATAACAAGACCGGCTTACTAAGAGCAGATGCCCTGCCAAGAGAATGGAATATAAAAGGCCAGCAGAATCTTTCAGAAACCTGACATCATGGGACACTTGTACTAAAGCACGATTTGCAGCTTTTCTTAAACTCTACATGTAGAGATGTCGCGAACGTCCGTGAACATCTCGCGAACGGTTCGCCGCGGTTCGTGGCGAACTCCGGTCAGCTGACACATCCCGGCCAATCTCCAGCAGACCCTCCCTCCCAGACCCTCCTACTTCCTGGACAGCATCCATGTTGAAGGCAGCTTAATTTTATTTATAATGATAAAAATATTCAGTCTGCCAGAGCTAAGGCCAGTCAATGGAAAGTAAAAGAATATTATGGATAACCCGTCCAGGTGATATACATGATGATTTTGGAAATTGATCATTTAGGTCACCTATTGCAAACAGGTGAAAAGATGTCAAAGATATAAATTAAACATCCATACCACTCTATGTATATATATATATATATATTAAAATACACGTAATCAAATATTTTATCAGTTTTTCAAATACCAAGAAAATTTTATTTGGTTTGTGATGATTAAAAGGTACATATACCTGGTGGCAATGATCCTGCCACATCTAATGACTGTTTAATCAATACATCATACATATGATTAATAATTCATATTCTGATTGTAACATACCCCCACTTCAACCAGTTATAGTTACAACAGATTCTGATATCTATTGTTATGGAAGTGTTAAACCCACTTATACAAAGATAGTGTTAAAATATAAATACATTCAATATTGTAACTGAGTGCTTTCTTAACTCACTTTTAGAAATAATAAAAATCCAAATCATCTTAAATTACACCCAACAGCCGCTGGTAAATATACTTAAACAATTAAGATTCACATTGTTAAGCATCCAATCTCACAGACGTAACTTTCCACAATGGCTGTCAGATCTAAAAAGTTTTTAAAGTCAATTTTTGGGGGTTTCTGGTATTTTAAGCCACTAATAACTGTAGTTATTATATTTACTAATTATAACTTAGGGAATAAGTTGTCTTCTCCCTAACAGGACAAAGAAAGATAATTAACGTCATATTTCCAATTAGCAACTATTCTAAATAGATTGAGAGATTTTGAATAAAGGAGTATTTTTAACACTTAAAGAGAATGTAATTTTACATACCATTGTGAACAAAGGCGGTAAATACTTTGCTGCTTCAAATTATCCTTATATCTAAATCATATACAAGGGTGTTTATCTTTAAAACAAAACACTAGAAAGATTAACTATGTTACTATTTCACCTATCATTATTATACAAACTATAACAAATGTAAAGATTTTTCCACAGATTTTACCTGTTAACATTATTAGCACAACAGCACCTGATGTCAGTGAGATGTCTATCACTGAGATGTTACAAAGATTCCAATACAGCAAAAAGAGGCGTTCTTGAGAATCCACTTCGATTGCTGTATCAACATAACATTTACTGTAATGGGATCCATGTCACTTAAGACAATGTCTTGGAAATGCTGTCAATTAATTTATTCCGTAAAAGAATATCGGAGAGTATCCAATCTATACACATCATAAACTGTGTAAAAATGTTTCATGGAAAAAAACAAACAAGCGCAGACAAATACCAACGCCATCACCACGGTGATAACAGATTCAATATCTGCAACCAATTCTATCCAAATACTTGGAAAGCTGGACTCTACAACCTATACTCTACAACAAATACCCGGGTATTCTACAAACACAACCTCCAGCAATGTATCTAAGGAATGTAAACTTCTACAGGCCTTTAAAGACTTTGGATTACAAATACAATTACTACTTTTAACTTTGGATTACAATTCGTATCCGGATCTATCCAGGAATATCTTACTCTGGAACCTGGTGTTCTTTTCAATTCTTTCCCAGACAAAAGCTTTGCTCATTTTCATTAACCACCTTTACAGGCAAAGATCACACTACGGATATTTTACTGTTACAACAATGATCTAAGATGCTGGGAGCATAAAAACCTAAAGACAGTTGGAGAACTTTGGTTCACTAATTTAAGGAAGAAATGCGCTACAATGCCCACAGTTTAATGGAGAGGGTGTTATGGGCAAATGCAAATATTACAAGTTTTAGAATGAAATGTTGTATTTCTTAAACTGTGTACTTTGTCTTTAAGAGATATTGCAAACTGACAAGGTGTTAGAAATGGAACATATTGTTTTTCATAGATGTTTCTTTAAGCAATAACCTCAGTGCATAATATGTTTGCGCCATTTTGTCCCAGACTAATTACAATAACAATAATGCACAAACAAGCTTCAAGGCTATACTACGACTCTTTCAGTACACAATATACTGTGGTAACCCCAAGTTAATGGAACTTCCCCAAATCCGGGAATCTCCCACGACTGTACACTTACGACTTAGTATCAACAACAGATAACATATTCAGACTTTAAGATGCCATCTTGAACTAAGTCAGGAAAATTTCCATGACGTATACACCCTTTAGTTATGGCCTTGTATGTTTGCCAAATTAAGGGAGGTCCTAAATTGAATAAAGTAAAAGAAGTGTTACTTTTTCATATTTGAACTACAGTAACCTAAAATGGAGACACCTAAGGTATAAATAGGTGTACTTTTAAATGTTAAGACACAGAGGAGAGACTTGGAGACAGACGCTGCTCCATCTTAAAATGACAGAGAGGCTGACATGATGACATGTTCAGAAGGGTATGTTAACCTATTAATGATGTTTGCAAGCATGTAATTTAATCTTATAAACTCTGCTATAATGGATTTTATATTTTTATATAATAAATATCCAAAAAGACAAAACTATTGCTTCCAAGACAATCCTTATTTTATATTGTATTTTCAATTGTTTATATATATTAAATAGAGGATCTCTTACTGACTATATCAAATTATTGCTAAGATATCTGTATGGTCAGCCCTACTAAGTTCTATGCTTTAAGACATTATAGTGGTAAATAAGGGAACCAGCCACGGTTACAGTATCCATTCAGGGAGTAAGGGTCACTTTGCTTGTGTACTGTTCAGCTTTGTCATGGAATCTTTTGTTATATTATTATTATTATTTATTATTTATGTTTAGTGCCATCACATTCCCTAGCGCTGTACTAGATTATTTTATATCTATTTTAAATTAGTGCTGTATTTTTTCATTTGGATATACTATGAACATTAACTAATTTTAACCCCCTCTTTTAACCCCTCTCTTTTGAATAAATGTATCTAGTCATTAATGGCTCTTAAATCAAATTGAGATCTATTTTGCGTTCCTGACCCTATAGTGTTAAAAACTCCATCTAGCCCTCCTCTCCACTAAATATAGTAAAATCTTACCTTTCTTCCAGTCTGCTGCTGCTGGCTCTGCCCCTGATCTGCTTGGCTGACATATTCAAAAATGGTGGTCTGAGTCAATCACAATGCTTTCTTATATGATTGGAGACTGTCAAGGAGGTAGATCAGGGGCAGAGCCAGCACAAGTCAAAGACAGCCCTGACCAATCAGCATCTACTCATATTGATACATTGAATCAGTGCATCTCTATGAGGAAAGTTCAGTGTCTGCATGCAGAGGGTAGAGACACTGAATGGCAGTGCTGCTCACTTTGCAGCACTGTCCCAGGAAGCACCTTTAGCAGCCATCTGAGTGGCTGGTGAAGGTATCTCTAGGCTGTTATGTAAACAGTGCATTTTCTCTGAAATAAAAGGTTTTCTGCAAAAAGCCTGAAGGGAATGATTATACTCAACAGTACAAATACAATAAGCTGTAGCTGTTTTGGTGGCTATGGTACCCCTTTAAACACAATATTACTTACCTCTAAGTAGGGGCACTCTAAACAACATATTGCTGCTGGTGTGTCTAACTGAGTGCCTCGATCTTGTATTGGCTATTCTGCGTTGAACTGGGTTTAAAAATAAATGAAACATCTCATGGTGATTTTCAATGGTTTATTCACTTATGTAATTAACAGGGAAGTAAATATTTTCTTTTAATATAATGACTTTAAAAATCGTGGCAGTGAATGCAGGTATTCCATGGATTAAAGAACTGTTGGTCTTTGGAGATTTTAAGATTGATTTGCTAAATCTTAAAAATAGTTCTTGCACGGTGTTTAAGACTTTGCAGCTAACGCAATTAATCTCTTCCACAACTCGCATAAACATTTAAAAGCCATAACCATACCCTGTTCGATTGGATTCTCTCCACTTCTCCTGATAGTATCCAGGAGGCAGGTGTTCTCCCAAACAGTTTCAGAGATCACTGTTTAGTGTACTGCGTGCGCAAAATAAAGGCTACTAAATCCTCTCCCAAGATTAAAATCACCAGGTCCTTCAAAAAATTTAATATTGAATCCCTTCTTAATGACATCAAGAACCTCCCATGGCACAGATTAAATATTATCCCAGATCTAGACTGTGCTGTTGAATTCTTTCAGTCTGAACTCCTACAAGTTTGGAATTTGCATGCCCCACTGCGTAAGGTGAGAGTAAAAGAAGCACATATGAACTGGATCACAGCTGACCTCATCCAAATGTACCAGTTTCGGGATTCTTTGTGGTCAAAGTTTAAGCGTACTGGCTCTATGAATGATCACTGTGCATATAGACAATGGCGAAATATACGCACAAAACAGACAAAATTGGTCAAGGCCCAATATTTCTTTGAAAATCTGATTAATAACCTATCAAACCCTAGAAACTTTTGGAAAGTCATAAATAAATTACAAACTCCCCCAATCCACTCCCAACCCTCAACTGTCAAAGTGGATAACCAAACCCTGCAACTTCCCTTAGATGTAGCAAATGCCTTTAACAATTATTTTGTCGGTTGCTCCACTGCCCTGATTGCCAAGCTAGTAAAAGACTTGCATCCTGAAACTACAAATGTGGATCAGGCCCCACTAAATTTGCAAAGGCCCAATATAGAAAAGTTCATTTTTATACCTGTACCCATTTGTGTCATTAAAAAACACCTAAATAATCTAAAAATGAAAAACCAGTCTGGACCTGATCAAATCCCAGCAATGCTGTTGAAGGTCAGTGCACCGGTAATTGCTAAACCCGTTGCAACCCTAATTAACGAATCCTTGGTGTCTGGATACATACCCAAACTTTGGAAGACTGCTAGAGTAGTGCATATCCATAAAAGTGGTGACACTACTTTGGTTTCTATTGCCCAATATCATTGCTCCCGGTATTGTCAAAAATCTTAGAAAAATGTGTCCATACGCAACTATGTGAGTACTACCAACAATTAAACTATCTGACCCCTGATCAATCGGGCTTTCGCCAGAATCACTCCACTACAACTGCCCTCTTAAAAGTTTGCAATGACATCCAAACTGGCATGGAACAAGGAGACCTAACTGGAGCTATTTTCCTTGATTTTGCAAAGGCCTTTGACACAGTAGACCACGACATTCTACTGCACAAACTCAAAAACTCAGGTATTGGTGATTGTTCGCTAACCTGGTCTCGATCGTATGTATCGGATCGCTCGCAATATGTGTCCATTTCTGACAGCAACTCCCTCCCTCTCCCAGTCACGTGTGGTGTTCCCCAAGGTTCCATTCTCTGCACCCTACTATTTACATTATTTATAAATGATCTGCCTAATGTCTGCAAATCCTCAAATGTACACATGTACGCAGATGACACAGCAACCTATGCGAGCAAATCAGATCTACCCCAGCTTGAGGCTGTGCTCCAAGACCAGTTTACAGAGGTAGAAACGTAGATCACAAAAAACAAACTCTTCCTAAACACTGACAAAACTGTCACAATGATCTTTGGAACAGTACCTAAATTACACAAATTACACAATTCCCATCTATGCATCAAAACAAATTCAAATGGCAAACTGACTGCAGTCCACTCTTTCAAATACTTGGGTATGTTGTTAGACCCCAATTTATCTTTTGGCCTGCACATAGAAAAACTTGCAACTAAACTTTATCTAAAACTAGGTGCCCTGTACAGAAACAAATCCTGCCTAAGCCCTACAGAAAAGGAAAAGATCGTACAGCAAATGCTGATGCACATCATTGACTATGGGGATGAAACTCAATACATTGTATAACTCATTCTGCCACTTTGTGCTACAATGTAATTACAGGACCCACCATTGTGACATACTAAAAGAACTAAACTGGCTGTCGCTGGAATCCAGACGCACCATTCATCTTTCCAGCCTTGTGTTTAAGAGCTTTTCTGGGAAACTCCCACCCTATCTGAGCAAAATGCTCTCCTCGGCTTTTCCCACTTCCTATAACCTCTGATCCAGTACCAGCACTTTATTTAGTCTACCTCAATACAAAAAGAAAGCGGCTCGATCCTCCTTCTCCTACAGAGCGCCGCATTTGTGGAACAACCTCCCGCACACTTTAAAATCTTCCCTAAGCCTAAAGTCATTTAGGAGATCCCTCTCTACGTAACTCAAAACAGAATGCACGTGTCATGGTTGCTTTATATATTTCCTACCTGTTCTATGTTAAATTTTGTATTTATTGTGTATTAATATTGTTTTTGTATTTTATTGTACCATAATGTATCAATGCAATGTTCTGTGGACCCAGGACATACTTGAAAACAAGAGAAATCTCAATGTGTCTTTCCTGGTAAAATATTTTATAAGTAAATATTTGTACACAAATACATAGATTATCCTTTAAATGCCAACGTCATTACACAGTTTGAGTATAGATTAATGTAACGTATAAACAGTTACAGCTGCAACCAGAGTTAATCACCTAAACTTTATATAA